CCCATTATGACATTAAATAAGAAAGAAAGATTAGTTCAGCGAAGAGTTCTCTTTTCGGCGAATTCATTTTCAAAGCTGTACAATCGCAAATATATATACTTATTTTTACAGGGTAACCTCACTGTCACCATGTATAACAGAAGTTTATTATCAGTATTATTATCACCATGCAAAAATAAGTATATATATTTGCGATTGTACAGCTTTGAAAAAGAATTCGCCAAAAAGGGGAGGACTCTTCGCTGAACTAATCTTTCTTTCTTATTTAATTTCTTGGATTAACTTGAAGAAAGAAGAAAGTTATTTGCAGGTATATATATGGATAAAGGATAGCCATGAATGTTTATTATTACCTTCAAAAAGAACAGATTTTTGAATTGTATTGAGTTTTTGTGATCGAGACTTTTAGTACGGCAATAGTTATTAACTTATTCATCTATATTATCTATAGACCCAGTGGCCTTTTCTTGACAAATAACTCAGTACCTTTGAATAGTGACCGAAGAATCTCAATTCTCATCAGTTCACGAGCCTCTTTCTAATCAAAAGACAAATATTACTGGTCGAGCATTTCTCTGTCATACTCTATTCCTTCATGACTCAAGACTTATGAATGATCTGATCACTCAAGGACTCTAACCATAGGCTGCTATCGTCTCGCGGATTCCAACCACGTAGTCTACACCTACCAAAATGGTTCACTCCGCTTGTCAGTGACTTCATGGATTTGTGCCATGTTTTGGTCTGGTTTCCTGTAGCTTTCTTCTAACCGCAAAACATCGCATGTCAGGGCAGTCGGTGGTTGGGCATACGTAACACGTGTCCCAGCCATCTCAACTGATGAAGTTTCACTACTTCATCAGTTGATTTGCCATCCTTACCCATTACCCGTTTCCTAACAACTACATGGCTTGCTCGGTGGTCCCAGGATTTACGAGCAATACTTCTGAGGAACCTATGATCAACTACTAGTAACCTACGAATATCCTCTACTCTTACCGGCCATATTTCAGTCATAAAGTGGGACGGAACGAGCTGCTGCACAGTAAACCCATCATTTGTTTGGTAGACGGATATCTCGCCTACGTCACAAATGACGCAAGTTGGCAAAAGCTAGTCGAGCCTTCTGTATCCGTGTTGTGATTGCATCAAATACCAGACTACAAAGGATGATGAAACACCTAAGATGATTGAAGTGGTCAACACACTCAACTACTTCACTCCCTATCATGAGTTCAAGTGCTAATGCAACCCAATCCTGATGGAATATTTTACATTTCAAGCTGAAGTATCACATCCCGAACATGCTTACATAATTGACTTATATAATTTCCTAAACTATAATCAACTGATATAAATTCATCAAAATAAACAGAATTTTAATTATTCTGATACGATTTATTTCATTTTCTTTAAATTTCATGTCAATGATTTGAAGTCTATTGTTTATCTGTTTGGTTGTTTGTTTGTTTTCAATACAAACAATCAAATTTACTGACGGCGTTGAAGATTGGTCAAGTTAAACATAGTGATACATTCATAGAACAATATGGATCGTTCATTTGAATATGGAGAAATGGGGGTGAGGGTGGGAAATAAATATACATATATGACAGTGGGACAAAATTTTGTTCATCTATTTGACAGATTTATCTGATCACGCTAATGCTGTGATTAGTTTCTTTTCTAATTTCATGTTCATGAATAAATTACTTTGGTAGGGTAAAAGAAAATAAATTAACGTATTAAATACCTATTATATTAATGATAATAATAATAAAATATAAAGTTATTCAATTCAGTTATTTATTTACTCTGAAGAAGTAACTTAAATGAAGTCACGAAACGTCAAAAATACAGATTTTCTATTTATTGAGATAGAACAGAAAATATATATTTATGATTAACTTTCCATCCAGCTTTAATCTAATCTTTGCATTAATAACTACATACCTATCATATTGTTTCTTTGATTATTCGTAGTAAGACCCAAATAAGTTACCAACTGTAACAAAAATTAGGAAAAGATGTTGAAGATGAATAGGACATACATATTGAAGAAATCATCAAACTGGATCATGAGGCAAGCGTCAAGTTGAAATCCTGAAAGGAAAAGGAAAATTGAAAGATCCGAGGACATACTAAGTCGAGGATTGGAAAAAAACATGAAAAGGATGAATAGCGATTGGAAACATTTGGAGAGGATTTCTCAGGATACAGTTGGATGGAGAATGCTGGAAGGAAACCTATGCTCCTTCACAAGGGATAAGTAAGTAATAGTGAGACTATAATTTATGAACGAATTAATGAAATTAAAGGTAGGTTAGTTTAAGATGTTGCTATGAAATTCATTTATTCATAATTAGGCTTATAATCAGATATTATATAGGTAAAGTTCTTCCATGTCATAAATTAAATGACGATAAAAAACATCACTATGAGGAAAACGTTTAGGGTCATTACTAATTGACGGGGTGAACTGTCTTCAATTTCTATTAAGTCTAAACATGTATCGTCATTGTAGTGTAATCACAGTTCAAGAATGCTGGTTAAATGATTTACAAGACAATTGTTTTGTACCACTACAAGATCTCAATATTTGTCGTCAGTATCGATCAAGAAATAAGAAAAAGAAACCTGTTGAAATACATTCAGCTTTATCAACATTTATACAAGTTTATCAATATGCCGTACAACAGTGTTGGATATTCGATCTAAGCCAGTCGATACGGCGACTACAGCAATCACCATACCTTCAATAATGTTACATGACATGAAAAGTCCGCTTTGCATATCCATCATTTAGTAACTTTTTTACCGGTAGCAGATGTTATAGTCACATTCGACAGTCCGTTGAAGTCATCAATCTATGTACAGAATAAAAAGGAAATCAAAATATCAACAAATTATTTTTAAAACATCAGGATTGTGAGATCAGCAAGACTTTTGCATTGTTAAACGTTCATAATTCGGTTGTGATGGACTCTCTTAAAACAAACAATGCCGGAGAGAGACTTCATAATGGCTTTAACTAAATCAGTGGTACAACTCATCCGAATATATGAAGATTCATTGTTACTCTTAAAAAGACATATAATCTAAGTGAATCTGAAACTTTGGAGTTCGTCGTAAGGATCCAGCAACAGCATGTAAAAAACAAGTACAAGAGGACAATAGTAGGTTTCAAACTGATCACAGAGTATTCTGGAGACGTATCAACACTAAACTCGTTATGCGAAATAACGTCTAACCTAAGATTACACATTTAGTTACATAAAACTGTGTCAACAAAACTTAAATATTTAAGTGAAATTTGTATCTAAATTCTTAGAATAGGGGTTTATGGAGATTGTAGTAATTTTATTAGTTGGGTTCATGAGTCAATCCACTCTAGACAATAGATGAATGGTTGTGAAAATCATGGATACCGACTAAGTGGTCTACAGGTTAAGTGTTTGCACGTGAGACCGAAGGTACTAGGTTCAACTAGTATGTGCATGAGCGTGGATGCGTACTGCTGAGGAGCCCCATACTATGACGAAACGAACGCCCAATGCTTCCATGTTTTCAATGGTGGTCTAGCTTAGATCGACTCATGAAGTCAACTATTAAAAGTATCTACAATATTCTGATAAATCATAGTTTGGATGCTTGCTTTCGATTAATTACGTGAATTCAATCAATATACCAGGTATATTATTTTATAATATTATCAAATTACTCTTTTTATTTCACTGGTTGAAATCATGAGTCAACTGAAGCTAGACAACCATGGAAAGCCTGGAAGCACTGTACGGCCGTTTCGTCCTAGTATGGGACTCCTCAGCAGTGCGCGTCCACGATCCCGCCCCCCCCCCGCGAGATTCGACCCCAGGACCTATCAGTCTCGCGCCAGACGTTTAACCGACTAGACCACAGAGCCGGCATCCAACGATGTTAATGTCTAACTTCAACTAATCCACGAAGTTCCACCACTGCACACCATTGTCTTCAATGAGTTGATATCTCACAACAGACCTGGTTGAACTCCACTGGTAACAACTTCTCACAATTGACTCATGATTTCAACCAGTGAAATTTCTAAAATCTCTACAAAACCCATTCTGATAATACTCTTTTTATGTTTGTTTTAATTCATATAAATCCCTTTCCACTCAGCTTTTATGATGCTCACCCATTTCCGAGCATCCTTATTGGAGGATACTGAATATCAATCGATTACTGTTTCCTAATCATATATTGGAATATTTTTAGTATGACGACAGTCATTAACTTTATGATTTGTAATGCTTATCAATAGCGTGAATTGATTTTACACTCTATGCTTGTATCCATGCATAAAAAGAAAATTGAGATTCGATTAATTGCCTAATAACAATCTGTTTACACTTAGATAATTTATATTTAAAGAATACAAGAAATATAGCTTAACAAGGACTAACTTGATGATATTGAAAGATGACATTCTAGACTAACAATCCAGATCATAAAATACTGTAGTTATGTTACTGACTTTTCACTTTTCTATGCACCAGGCTTAATTTTAAATATAAGTTGTGCAGTTTGTAATAGTAATATATTATAATATGTAGAGAATTACGATGTAAATAAATTTTTGATACTAGGAAAATAAAAATAAAAATACACATATATAAGCAGAGATGGATAGTAGCTAACAGTGGAATCTATGATGTGCGTTTTGTCCTATTTTGGACTCGTCAGCTGAATGTACCTGAATTCCAGAGTTGATGATCACTCCGGGACTTGAACTTAGTACCATCCACCTCATACATTATCGCATTATCCACTAACGAGTCTCCAATAGAACGAAACTCACATTCGGGATACCATCGCCAAACACTATCCATCTTTGTTTATAAAGCTTATGACTTAAGGCGATATCGAGCCAATCCACACAGGATGCATATATATGTCAACAAGAAACTGATCCATTACAGTCCTAAACAACAATGAGAAGATACCAGTAAAACAATATCAAGTGAATTTAATAATAATGTTTATTTACAAACAAACAAAAAAAGAAAATTAACAATGACAACAACAAAGAAACAAGAGAAAAATATGTTAATCTTAAAATTATAGTTTAATCTCATGTTACTTTAGGTGTGTGTGTGTGTGTATCTTATCAACAGCCAAAAAAAGAAAAGAAAAGAAAAAGAAAAATAATTCAATCAATAATTGAATTGGCATTAAACAATTACATCTTGATCACCAGTCCATACATGACATTTATCAAATAAATAAATAATATATAAACAAATACTTGATATTAAAAATAATAGAATAGGCCAAAATATAGCATGAAATACTGATGTAAATGTATAAAATTTATACAATAATGCTTCATCTTCATGTGTTGCATGTATATAACATTGAAAATTTCTTTGATGTCTTATACGTTGTTGAAATTTTTCAACCCATTCAGTATTATCCATATCACGATGATGACATGCACTTGTAGCACACTAAATATTGAAAAGAATTAAGAAGAAGAAAGAAAACATATATTAATATCAACAATGGATCAATGTTAGATCATCATTGAGAACTTAGACATACATGAAAGGCTGTTTCGTCTTATTGTCGGACTTCTCATCAGTGATCATACAGCAATTGAACCTAAGACCTTCGGTTTTTATGCATGAATGTTTAACCTCAACGGTGTTAATGTCTAACTTCAACTAATGCATGATATTGTGTCGCCGTCTACCATTATCTTATGTTAGTGACTGCCACATAACAGACATGGTTGAACTTCAGTGGTCATGACTTCTTACTAGAACTGTAGGAAATCTATCTTGAAGCTAGTCACTAGTGGGCATATGATAATTATCTGTATAGGGCTGTAAAGATTGTTGAGTTTATATATATATATATATATATATATATATATATATATATATATATATATATATATATATATATATATATATATATATATATATATATCCTACAGTTTCTACAAACCTCCCCCCTCACTTATATCGGTAAAAAAATTAGTCTTTGGTATCTGTGATTTAGGATCGAGAATATTTTTTATGTTTTTATCGAATTATTATTTGGCTATTAGTATAGGCGTTTGTACAGATTCAAGAAGGTTATTAAAACTGGAAATTGATCTAGAGTAGACAACTGTTGAAAACCTGGAAGAAATGAACTAAAATGAGACTCTTCAACACAGTGCACATTTAAGATCCCATTTGATGTCAAATGCAGAAGCAACGGGTTTCGAAGTGAAGTTTTAACATTTAACCTACTGAGAAAACATTCAATAGTTTATATGTCCAATTTCGATTGACTTGTCACAATGTGCAATCATTTGTTGTCTTCGGTGGGTAAATGGTTCCCCCTTAATATGTTCGAACTCCACTAGTTTCAAATTCTGACTAGAACACTGGAAATTTTCACTTGAAGTTAGTCATTAGTGAACACATGAATATTTAATGACCCTTTAATTTGACTTCAATTAGATCAGAAGCTGATGTTATTGAAATGCACATGCCACCAACCCTCATATATTCTTATCAACTTAATTTGCGTTAATGAATAACGGAATAAGCCAAATACAAGAATGAATTTTGAATAAGTATATTTCACACACTTACTGATCCGTACAAATAATCAGAGAAACGAAGTGAAGGAAGTGAAGCGAAACAAAGTGATTCACAGCGGAGGCATCGAGTGAGACAACTCGTTTTTATCAAATAAAAGGGAATATTTATGTTCAGACAAAATTCAATTACAGACACATAATGAATGAGGCAAGCAGTTAACACATAAGATTTTAGTGACCCAAGATCTGACTCCAGTAATATCGTATGATTGATTATTATCGAAATGTACATGTCACCGATCCTCGTATATAATCATCGACTTAAATCGCGTTAGTGGATAACCGAATTAAAGAACTCAAGTACGAGGATGAAGTTATGAATACGTATATTTTGGACAATCGTTGATCACGATAGACAATCAGAGAGACGTAGCAAAAGTAGCAAAGAAGAGAGGGTAAAGCGAAACAAAATGACGATCGGTGGAGAAGGCGTGTGAGCTAACTCAATTTAACTAACCATTGATCGACATTTATAGTCACACATAAATAAGTTTCAGACATCTGATGAATACGACGAGAAATGCACAAACATACTCTGATATAAAAATCGCCATGATTGATAAACGAATAATTAAAAAAGTTAAAATATGACTCGAGAAGAATGGATAAATTGGCCTGTCCAGAAGGTAGAATAAGTTATATCGGCTTAACATGACCACCGACACAATATCATCATATAACAACAGTCAGGATTAATAAGCGAATAATTAACAAGCTCAAAATGTAGCTTAAGAAGAATGAATAGATTGATCTGTCTAAAAGCTAGAATAACATATGCACGTTTGACATAGTACCAGTCATTACAAATGTTATCAGTATGATCAATTCAGTGCCTAAACAGTATTCAGCATCCTCCATATCAGTAAGATATTTTTTATTGAAAATAAATTTAATATCAGAAGGGTTTTTGTGGATATTATAGTAATTTCAATGGTTGAGATCATGAGTCAGTTGAAGCTAGACCACCATAGAACACCTGGAAGCAGTGGATGGCCTTTTCGTCCTATTGCGGAACTCCTCAGCATCATACAAACTGACTTACCGTTGGGTGCCGTCTCAGTGTTCTAGAGGTTAAGCGTTCACGCGCGAGACCTATATGTCCTAGGTTCGAATCTCGCAGGGGGCGGGATCGTGGATGCGCACTGGTGAGGAGTTCCACAACCGGACGAAAAGGCCATCCACTGCTTCCAGGTGTTCTATGGTGGTCTAACTTCAACTGACTCATGATCTCAACGACTAAAAATAAATTTATTGAAATAACCCCCTAAAATTCTATCTTTCATAAATTATGTTTTCATATATATTGAATAGTAAAAAGTAAAAGTAAAATTCTGATTTTTATTTCCTTTATCAGACTGAAATAAAAAACAATTAAATATTGTTCCGAATTTTATGATTGACAACCAACAGTTGATCAACGTTTACTGTGTGACAAAGCCAGGAAATAATAGTTAATATTACATATTCGATTACATAATCATTTCATTATGACAGACATTTTGTAACCATCTATCATGTCATGAAAGTATTATATCAGTTTTTTTATTATTATCATGAATTGAATGGAGCTCAAGAACAATTAAGAATTAAAGGGAACGAATAGATGAGTGGGTTTTATCCTGCTTCATAGATTGTTAATATTGATTAATTTTACTCGAGACTAAACTGAGGATCTTCAAATTTGATAGAGAACTACAGACTACTGAAATGAACAAAATTTTTGACTCGATGATTCCATGTATTGCAGCGATTTGTTGAATTATGTTAAATTGTGACACATCTTTCAATTTGATTACCGGTGTGTTCCACTTCTTGATAAAACTATTAGTACGCCTTACACATGTTGACTCGATTAGTAATGAATGAATATTCCGGTGGGAAAAAACGATTTCCTATTCAATGCAAAATTAGGGAAATCTCTCATAAATGATAAAAACCATACATAAAATAATTTCAATGGTTGAAATCATGAGTCAAGTGAATCTAGACCACCATGGAAAACCTGGAAGCACTGGACGGTCGTTTCGTCCTATTGTGGGACTCCTCAGCAGTGCGCGCCCACGATCCCGCCTCACGAGAGTCGATTGAACTTCAATTGACTCATGATCTCAACCATTGAAATTACTATAATATCCACCCTTTTGATATAAAATAATTCATTTGCAAGTCTTCCATCAATTGTCTCAAATTTTATCTTTGATTCATTGTTATTACAATTACTCTTTGTTTACAATCTCATTCTCTTCAATTCGATCTTCCTAACGTTCTTCTACCAGACAATCCACTTCTGGTTGATGTTACATACTACTTATGTCAGCAAACATAAATAGTAATAACCACAGATTTACCTGTAAATAATCTAATTTATCCAAATCCGCTAGTTGAAGATACTTTGTATTTCATTACGTTTATATAAATACACATATATGCTAATCCCTTTTTGGTATCAGTGAAGTATCTTCAACAATTAATCATATCAATGTGATCAACTTCATGTTAACTAACTAAGTCTATATGATGAATGTAAAATAAATACAAATCGTTGTAAAACGTTATTCCATTTATCTTGTTACTATAAGATGATGGAGAAGATTTGTAGCTCAGGTGGACGATTTTGATGGAGTTTTGTTCTATGAGCTGGATGGTTTGGTCGTGAAGCTTTCTACCTGAATTTTGTGCTGATGATGTCTATGAGAAAAACAAAGAAAGCTCCACGATCAAACCATCCAGCTCATAGAACAAAACTTCATCAAAAGCTTTTTACCATGATAGATAATAATTGTTTCGAATGCAATGCTTTGATGATGATGCCGATACACATTCCTATTAGTATATGGTTTCTTAATATTTTGTAATTTTCACTTAAATCTTTGATTGCCAAATGTTATTAAGATCAAGAAGTAACTTAAGTTAGACAACTATTGAAAACCTGAAAGTACCAGACAGCTGTTTCGTAAAAGTATAAGACCTTTCAGCAGTTTGTATCCACGAACTTACCACAGACCAAACTCAGGATAAAAATGTCTTGATGTAAGAGCATAATCTTTAAACTAAGATGGAATCCGGTGGTAAATACTTCCAACTTTAATCACTTCATGACATTGGGCCACTATCTTCCATTATCATTGTATGTGTACTTGTCCCATATCTGTCTCAGTGTTCAATGTTATCTGATGTTGAAGGTGAAGATATCTGTCAAGTGAACATTGTCGAAAACACGTCTTCTGTACACTCAAGTTGGAATATAGACTTATTAAGTAAGTATTAAATAGGATCAAATTAAAATATTATCTATTTTAGTTAATGATTAGGTAGGACTATAATTTATGGAGGACCTTTGATTGACCTTGATAATATCTACTTAGTAGTAGGTCATGAATAAATATGAAGAATCAGAATTGGGATTTACAGCTGTATGTTAGGATTAAGAGTTAAATATAGGATGTTTATCTCGAATTGACACCAGATGCAATGTCAAAATGCTATTTAGCCAAATGAATGAGTGAATTTCGCACCAAAATCCAAGGCCTTTTTTAAATCTTAAATCTGATTGGTTCGTTCATAAATTATAGTCTCGCTAATAATTCTTTAGTGCGATCAAATACATAACATTCAATAAGGAGACTACCATTTATTGTAAGTAAACATTTATTGAAAACTGTAAACGAGTACAACGTTTCTAATGATAAACAAACAAGAAGATATACCATGAGACAAAACTCATATCTCAATCGAAATGCAATTCATGTTAGGAAAAGTTCAAAGATTCAGACAATTACAATGTGAGGCCCGTTATTTAATCGTCATTTAGATCGAACGATGTTGTCGGAAGAGCTCTCCACTTTAGTGGCC